AGCTACCCTGCTTCTCACGTCGGATGGTTTTGGATGTGACACAATTAGGTGTTACGGGGAAAAGTGTCCCCGGGAACAACCCCAGCCGGAGATAAGTTCCATGTTCCACTACAAAGCTGAAACCGGAAAAGTCGTCGTGTTGGATACAATACCTTCAAAATAAAGACATTAAAACAATTCTGGAAAAAAAAACGTCTGGAAAATTGTATATGGGCTTGAGCTTGTGCAGTTCTTTTGTAGTGCCTCCTCAAAGCGCTTTAACACACCTACACATTCTTTTTTTTTTTTTATCAAACTTTTTATTGAAATTGTTCAAAACAAGTAAAATATGGCAACATTTACTCTATTTTCATAACTTAAAGATTGCCAATGGGAACAAATTTAATGGTCAAATATCATAAAATAAAGATAATAGAAAGCTATGGAAAAGACAAAATGAGATTTAAAGAAAATACATAAATAAAAGGATTACATCAAAAGAAGTCACCCTTTATAAAAAGGACTATACAATTTGACATTAGTTTTCTAAATCAATGGAAAATGAAAATGTTTTATATTGACAATGTGCCATTTTCCATTCTTCAGTTTTAATGATTTTAAGAAAACTTGGGGATGATTTTAAAGCTCTAGACACAAAATCACATGAATCCAAAGTTCATGATTTTTGTATTTTTCAGATTATACCAAAGATACAAATTGTTTCTAGGGAAAAATCAGAAAGATGAGACTTCTTGTGTTATCCATTTATGAATTTCAACACAAATATATGTAAGTGTCTTGCACAAGGACACATCGGACATGGGGCTGTTGGTGCTGGGGATCGAACCTCTGTCCTATTGACAGACAATTGACTCTACCAATGAGCCACAGCTCAGCTTTTTTTTATGTAAAGATATTAACCAATATTTATGTAAGTATTACATTAAGGCCAAATGTAAAAAATAGGCGTAATGGATTTAAGGAGGGGGTCTTCAAGAAGCTGTTTTGAATGGTTCACTGGATGTGCCTTTTGTGGAGCAATTTATTGATTTATGCCGTTTTTTTAAAGGGAGATATTATAATATCAGTATGAAGATGCATCATGGTTACAATTCTTATTTATATTTGTTCATTATGGAGACAAATTGAAAACACAGAATAACAGAACAGAACCACCAAAAATACAAATAAACAAAAACAAGCAAAGCATAAAGAAAGGGAGCAAATAACACAAACTATATTCAGGGGAATCAGAAACAGAACTAAATGAACATATCCAGCGTTCATTTTTTTACTCTAGTTGACTGTCTTTCATTCCATGTAGAGTTACTCTTATATTTCTGTTTTTTAATTGTTGTATTTTTCCTGTTCCATTTATTGATGTAATACTTCCCATACAAAATAAATACTTTCAAGGTGAATACTTTTTTACAGTCCGTTTCACTCTTAACTTGATTGAAATGATATCCATTTGTTTTGATTGAACAGTTTGTGCTAAAATGACGCGACCGGAAGTGACGACAGTGAGCCGCCTGAACCCGGAACATTGGAAATGGTGTGAATTCTCGGTGTGTTGTTGCGGTGAACCCATGCTGGATTAAGACAGACGTGATCTAGTACCCGGTGTGTGAACTCTACATGGTGTGAACTCAGAGAGACTCAGAGAGCTGGTCTCGTCCTGTAGACTCAGAGAGCTGGTCTCGTCCTGCAGACTCAGAGAGCTGGTCGATGATGATGATGATGCTGGAGAGGAGCAAGGTGACGATGGTAGCAGATATCTTCTTCAGCCGGAGACACTGTGAGAGAGAGGAGATCATCCACTGTCGCTGCTCCAGAGCCTTCGTACAGTGAGCATCTCATCTCACTTCTTGATGTTTTAACAATCCATCACATGCATGACACTGGATTGTTCATGTCTTCTCTTTTCTGTGTCCAGGGATCGGGAGCTGTATCGCTCTGACAACAGATTGCTCTGCCTTGACCTGGCTGACTCTACAGTGGGAGGTATGTTATGTCCACCCTCACACCCTCACTGACCTTGTTCCCGCTAAATCTGTGAGTGCTCAGTGCTGTCCCACAGTCCAGTCCTCAAAGTGCATGAGAGATCCCTCGCTGACTTTTGGAGCGTGGGCATGTCTGCAGACTTGGCATGTGGGAATAGTTCATAGCATATGGTTCACAGGGAAAGCCATAAAAACCTTCAAATATTTTTTTTAAAAGGGAGAGACGGTAAAAAAGCAGGAAGGTGACATCACACTCTACCAAAAAAGTACATTTGGAAACTCCAGCTAATTCAGAAATCTACTGCAAGTCTATTTTAAAAAAACAAGAGACAGAGAGCATATAAGTCCTGTTATATATAAGCTAAGATAAACCTTTATGTATCCCACAGTCAAGAAATACACATATTAAGTAGAAGTTTTTATAACAGCCAGGGCTGTGAGTGAGTAAAATCAAAAATGACATCGTGCTGTCCCATTGAAAATCTGGAGCCCGTGCAGCCTCGTGCACTCGATCACTTTCCAGGTTAGGTCAATGTAGTTGGTACTCAGGCTAGGGCTGGGCAATATATCAAGTTTTTAAGATATACCGATATATTTTCAAACAAGATATTGGGTAAGACAATATGGTTAATATGGATATAGTTTAAGTTTCATTAAAATAATGTTACAGAGGTGCCAGGTCACCTTTTCCTCATCTCACTGATGATGATGACTGACTGTCTGTCCCTCTTAACCCTGCTCCTCCTCTCTCTCTCTTTTATTGTATTTAAGGAACATTTTTATTTTAGAATATTACTTTTTAAATTCACAAACAGGTAGTTTATTTTCCATGTGTTTCACTGTTAATAAAATACATATCGATATATATTGAGTATCGCCATTCAGCTAAACAATATCAAGATATGAGTTTTGGTCCATATCATCTAGCCCTAACTCAGGCTGTTCTGATGAGCTGCGCGGGGAGTGACTCCATCTGTTTAGTTTTGTAAAGAGTGACCGACACTTCACTAGTCAACAGTGACAGGAAACACTAAAACACCTCCTGTACTGAGTCCCTTAATGTGCACAGGAGAATCCTCTTATTTTGAATATGAAACTGTTAATCTAGGTTTAACCTGCTGAATTTTATGAGCATTTTCAAAATGAGTGGTTGTTAAAGTTCTACCTCTTCATTTTAGATGAATGACTTTTCATGCACTATGGTTAGATTATTAGTGCACAGGGTTCAGAGACAACTACTGGGTACACTTTATAATCATGAAGTGAAAGTCATCGTAGTTGGTCGAGAGCGAGACAAAGAAGTAACATAGTGAGAACGATGGCTGTTAAAAGAAGGCTTCATTTAAAATACATTTTTCTCCACTAACAGAAACGGATGAGGAAGAAGAAGAGGAGGAGGAGGATGAAGAGGCTCTGTTGATGGCCAGCATGGGTCTGCCTCTGGCCTTTTCCAGTTCCTCCAGGCAGAGGAGAGAGGTCGGTTCAGTGATGTCTCATAAAATAAAGATGCCAATTAAAATGTAGAATATGTGACATTTCAAACATGAATTTAGCAGATATACATTACAAATACAGTGTAACTTAATATTTGAGTAGTGGCTCTGTAAGAAAGAGAGAAGTCAAAGTCCACACTGTGTTCACACTGAAGAGATATTATAACATATTGTACTTTGAAGAAATACATACAACCGACATGTTTGGGGTTGATCTTCTGACTGAATGTTTCTGGTTACGTGACAGAACAGAAAGCCTGCTGCATGCTGGGTAGAAACAGCAGCTGAGGAGGAGGAGGAGGAAGCTGAACAAGATCTACAGGTAGATGACACAGGTAAGACAATGAGCTCATATTAACTTCCTGTAGTATCTCAGGCAGAGCTGCTCATAGCGTCTGGCTTTAAAGGAAGAATGTGCAACATGTTCCACATCAATAAATCATAAAGTCTGTCCTGTGTAAATGTGTCTCTGAGTCCTGACTGTCTACAATGAGGGAGAAGCTCGAGTCCCGCTGGCTGTGTTGTTGTCAGAGTCATGTTTACATGGACGGGACGGCCGGCTCCTCCCCTTGTGTATAAAAGCTGTTTTAGTCAAGAACTAGAGAGAAGAAGAAGAACATACTCACTGATTATTTGGATGTTAGTAAGAGTTTTTAGATCACGATCATTCTGTGACAATTTACATGAAATGTGAAGCTACGAGCTAACTAAAGAGCGCTAACATTAGCATGCTAACACAACAACGTGAAGCTACGAGCTAACTAAAGAGCGCTAACATTAGCATGCTAACTCAACAATGTGAAGCTACGAGTTAACTAAAGAGCGCTAACATTAGCATGCTAACTCAACAATGTGAAGCTACGAGCTAACTAAAGAGCGCTAACATTAGCATGCTAACACAACAATGCAGAACACAGGTGGCCGCAGCTCGAGCCGAGGACAAGTTTGTCCGCTGTTTGCAGTTAATGGTGTTTAATTATTGTGCATTCTAACTAATAACTCCTTCATGTGAAGGTGAGTGGAGGGGGGGTTGGAGGGGGGGTTGGAGGTGTGTCTCTAGAGGAGAGTGGTGACTTCAGTATGGAGGAGGCGTGGCCAAACAGCAGTTTTTTGTTTAATGCTGGGGCTCAAGGGCGTCATCTACTGGATCAGAAAGTCGCACATTCTTCCTTTAAGTAGTCTGTGCTGCAGCAGCTGTGATTGAATATCTAACTGTAAGAATCATCATTAATGTCAGATGTTAAAGTACAGAGATGATCATGTGATCATTGGAAATGTAAAAACCTTTTCTGTAGCTCTTAATCTTTAAAGTCACTTTTGGAAATGAGGATCAAATGTTTACCTTGGTAAGTGATTACAGTGACCGGGACCAGTGGTTAGTGTGCGCGCCGCATGTACAGAGGCTGTAGTTCTAGAAGCGGGCGGCTCGGGTTCAAATCCGTCCTGTGCCTCCTTTCTTGCTATGTCATTCCACACTAACTCGCTCCCTCGCTATCCGACCCTAACCACTGTCCTGTCCTGATAGGCGTCCAGACCTTTCCATTCATATGTGCTAGTGACTGAAAGCATGGTCAGAACATTGTTAGATAGTCTCTACATGTATTGACTGGCGGGGATGGTTTCCAGGAGTCAGGGTCAGTCCTGAATCCCTGTCTGGGTTTCTGCTGCTCTACATTATCCCTCACTTATTATGTTAAAAGCATTTATTGGCTCCTGTATTCTGACGATTGTTATGAAGCACATGACGTGATGATGTCATTTGACACTGTCTTGTGATCACTCAGCTGATCAGAAGGAAGAGAGTGACCCACTGGAGGAAGGAACAAGAGGCACCCAAGATGCCGGCTGGGAAGCCTACTGGGGTAAAGTGGACTCCTGTGGTCTTTACAAACCTTAATGATGTGGATCTGTGCTTATTTGTATTTACAGCAGGTGAAGGAGAGCTGAACACGAGCGCTCACTGGAGACATGTTGTTGATGTCCACCATACAGAGAGTAAACAGGGTCATACATGGTATCACTGAAAATCAAACCCATTCATTTTGGATGTTTATTCATCGGACATATTCAATCAGACTTGTAAACATATGTCTAATAATAATACTAATATAATCATGTATGAGAGATCACTATAATGAATATATCACTTAAGTTACCCTTCTTATGAACAGACTCAAATAATACAAAACATCTTTAGATGCCATTTTTAAAACTTAAAGGATAAAAAACATGACCTTAACTCTCAGAGAAACATCTGGACTCACTAGAGCGCCCGTGTGTTACATGATACAAGGTGACTGTCTGTAATCAAAAACCTTTTCACCTCTGAAGTAAAGTTTTCGTGTGTGTGTGTGTGTGTGTGTGTGTGTGTGTGTGTGTGTGTGTGTGTGTGTGTGTGTGTGTGTGTGTGTGTGTGTGTGTGTGTGTGTGTGTGTGTGTGTGTGTGTGTGTGTGTGTGTGTGTGTGTGTGTGTGTGTGTGTGTGTGTGTGTGTGTGTGTGTGTGTGTGTGTGTGTGTGTGTGTGTGTGTGTGTGTGTGTGTGTGTGTGTGTGTGTGTGTGTGTGTGTGTGTGTGTGTGTGTTAAAGCTCAACAGGGTGAAGCGCTGCTCTGGAGCAGCTGGCTGCAGCAGCATCCACAGACAGATCATGTGTCTACAGAAGCAGCAGCAGCTCCTTGGGATGACCCAGACACGAGCGCTGCGTGGGAGAAACATGCAGCAGAGACATACTACTCCTACTGGGAGCAGTACTCATACTGGGCCTCACAGGGCTGGAGCACCGAGCTGACCGGCTGTGAAGGTACAGAGACCTGCTCAGAGGAACAGAGGGATGAGAGTGCAGCTGAAGTCCAACAGAGACAAGAGGACGATGAGGATGTTGAGACTTTGAATGATCTGCTTGAACAGAGCTGCTCATTAAAAGCAGGGGGGAGCACTGTGTCTGACTCCATGAACAAACTCTCTGATGATCCCTCTGACGGCGGGAACGATCGCAAGAGACCTGCTACCTCCTCACAGACGAACACAGCAGAGCAGAAAGGTAATAACTGTGTTTGTTTATCTGTTTCTGTGTAAAGACTCACAGTACTGTCTGCAACAACAGTCTGCAGGAAGATGAAACGGCTCTGTGGAAGAGTTAGCGATAGCATTATTTAGACCAAAGGTTGGAGAAAGGAGGTCTGTGCCTAAAACAGCAGAACGAGGGACAGCAGAGAATCAGAATCAGATTTATTGTCCAGGTATGCTTACACACACAAGGAATTTAACTTGGTTGAACTGTGCTCTCTTATGAACAGGTACAACATTAAACATCAACAATAAACATAAGAAAAGACTAATATTTACATGACTAAATAAGAAACAGTGCAGTGGTGAATAGTGCAAAAGATGCTGAAGTAACATGATAAGTAAAATGCAGTGATAAGTAAAATGTGACAAATGGGTCAATTAAGATGTCAATTACAGTATTTACATAAAAAAGTGTGTGTATATTGATCATTTAAATTAAATAATATATATATACATGTATGTATATTCACAATGACGGTTTGGTTTAGAGTCATTTCACCACGACAGGTCTGACACTCTGTGACTGTTTAGCGTTCATCAGAGTGACAGCCTGAACTCTTACAGTAGAGATGCACTGATCTACTTTTCTTCAGTTTTTATCCGACTCCGATGTATGTGTACTGATACTGATACTGATCCAGATATTATTTTGAATCATAACTAATATTATTATATTTGTTGTTGGTATCATGTGTAAGGTTTCACACAGCTGTAGTAAACCCAGCATTGATTTAGCTTATTCTAATATATTTATCTTATATAATAATAATAATAATAATAAATCAAAATGCATACAAATTAAAATGATTCCAAGGAAATGTATTTGACTTTTGTGCCGGCTTCACATATAAACAGGAAGCAGCAACAGCTGTCAGGATTTCAAATTAAAGTTTTAAACTGAAGTGTAAGAATTATACTTTTGATCATATAGAAGGAGCTCTTCCATCTCTTCTGAGCGTTGTCATGGAGACGATTAGTGGACACTTCTCACAGTTCGGTCTGAGCGTCTTCAAAGTGAGACTGAAAGTGCTAAACCGTCTTTCTTGATCGGCGTCGTCTGTCCATTATCAGATTTGTAAATGATGTAGATATATCAGGCCCTGATACTGATATCAGATCTGTCCCGTCTCTACTTTTAAGCTTATTCTTCAAAGTAGAGAGAGCTTACAGTGATAACTTGAAAAGATGTGTTAATCGTGCATTTGGTGCTAAAGTCTCGTGTGCTTCGACTCAGATTCCCAGCAGGTTTCCTCCCGCTCTGACAGACAGAACGTCTCAGGTAATAAACCAACACTAGAAGGAGATGATGACGATGATGATGTTAACAAACCTCCAGGAGGAGGACAAGCTAAAGTCAAACGCAGGTGAGTTTAAATGGATGTGTATTACAAATATCACAAACTCACAAAGAGCTTTAAAGAGCCCATATTATGCCCTTTTTGGGGTTCGTATATTTAATCTATGTACCTACTTTTGTACATTCACAATAGATAAAGTTTGAAAAAAGTGTCTGTTTTCATGTACTGCTCCTCCTTGCTCCCTCTACGCTCTGAGTCCGTCAGCTACACTCTGTTGAGCCCCCACTGTTAGACCCCACATGGGCCAAGTCTGCTCTGATTGGTCTGCCGATCCACTCTGTTGTTATTGGTCAGTTGCTCAGCACGGTTCTCGGAAATGTCCCGCCTCTTTTACCATATTGGGAATGCAGCCACTGGCTCCGTTTGAGGGGAGCATAAACATTAGCACCTTAGCACTACTGTGCTACCGCAGGCTACGGCATATCATGGGCGTGCTACAGAAGTTAATGGGCGTGCAACATGAGCTGCTGGGCTTGCCACAACGAGCCAATGGACTTAGATCAGTGATCTCACACTGACAATGACATCGGACTGACACATTTTTATCGAGGGGGACTACATGCAGCTAATGCTACAGCTAACAGGAGGACGTAGGAGAAGCCGTGTTTCCACAGACTTTGAATTTTTGCAAATAGATGTGCCTAAACATGCACAGGACACTTGGAAAACACACTAAAGAGCATATAAAACCAGAAAAAGCCTAATATGGGACCTTTAAAGTCTTTCTATGTGATTTTTCACACTTAAATGTAATAGAAATCAAGTATATCCTCTGAAAATAACTCTGTGAGTCATGACTGTCTACAATGGGTGTAACACCCGAGTCCCACTGTCTGTGATGTTTTCAGAGTTTTCAGAGTCCTATCTTCACTTTGTTTACATCGCCAGGACGGCCGGCTGACTCCTCCTCTCGTGTATAAAAGTTGTTTAATTGAGGGACTAGAGAAAAGAAGAATAACATACTGTACTCACTGCTTAACTGTGTTTCTAGATCACGCTCATTTCAGGTAAATTTACATGCAGTGTGAAGATACCAGCATAATAAAGATCGCTAGCATTAGCATGCTAACACAACAATGCACCACAAGTTGTTTTGGTTTCATGCTGGTGTTCAAGGGCGACATCTGCTGGATCAAAAAATCACATAAAGCCTTTAAACAGCAACATCAGAGGTAAAGGCAGATCATGTTCACATCTTTGCTTTCTTTTCTCTCCTGCTGCAGTCATGAGCTGGATTTGGAGGAAAGCCCACAGCTGACACCAGAAGAAGCGTGGAGTAGACTGGGACTCAAACACAACTCTAACCCTCTGTAAGTCTGATCCATTACTTTTCTTTACTGCCTGCTTGATCATTATGAATAACACACGAGAAGGTCTACAGCTCAGTGACTCTTACAGAACTAAAAGAGGAACATAGATCCACTGTTTCTCAACAGGCTGAGCAACGCTTTGCTATTACTAAAAAAACATCAACGCACTACCCTGATTATTTTAACACAACTTTATTTCAAGTTTGGACCAAATCATAAAAGACAAAGAGAAAACAATCCCATCTGTGCATCACTGCAGCAAAGCTCATGTGTTTGTTTGTATAGAAGTATATCTGGACAGAGTCATCTGTCCTTCACTCCTTTTAAAGACGTGTATCACTTTTGACAAATGACTTGTTGACACTCAAATATCAAGACTTTGGTATTTATTTTGAACTCAAAGTCAAATCAGCTTTTGAAAGGATCATATTTATCCACTAATATTCCTTTAGCCATGAATTCTTTAACTCCCGTCTTACAAACATTGGTACATTTGTAAACAGGCCAGAGACCATGTGTTATCATAAGAACGGACACAGAGCTGTGTATTCTCAATGTCCAAAGAAAGCTCTTAAAGCCACACATCTTCTTAACATCATAATGGTGCTCACATAAGCCTTCTTATTCAACTCTGAATATTGTCATATTTACTGGGCTAAAAACCCGAGGTGACAGAGCTTTTACTGTGGCATGCTCCAAATCTGTGGAACAGTCTACCTGTTAATATAAGAACTGCTCAGTCCATCAACAACTTCAAATCTTTGCTTAAAACTCACCTCTTTGCTCTGGCTTTTAATACAATTTAAGCTTGACATTTTGAAATTTTATTCATGCTCCTATTTATTGTGTTTTTATTGTGCTTCATTCTATATGTTATTTTACTTGTTGTTTTTACTTGTGTGTTTTTTACGCTTGTACAGCACTTTGGTCAGTCAAGGTTGTTTTAAATGTGCTATAGAAATAAAGATTGATTGATTGACATTTACAGTTATAGTAGATACAAAGTGTGTATTTAAATAGATTTACTGAATAAAGTGGTTACTTATTTAAATGTTTGACTTATGAGTCTGACACACGGTAGAGACTGACAGTATTTGTATGTTTGTGGTGTGAGGTGTCATGGCGTTAGCATTAACTCCGTGTGATTAAGCTCCAGAATAAATGCAGTAATGATTTTAATCAAGTGTTATTTTGTCCCTCTATGGGCACCATAGCTAAGCAACTGCACTGACCGCAGCGTCTCCCCGTAGTCACAGGGATGGAAAAGAGAATTCTTCAAAACAAACTCCCAGGTGCCTCAGTGTGGAAAGTAATATCCACCTGGAGACATCAAACGTTGACCTATCATTCTCTTTATGAACACACATTCAAAATAAAAGTCTAACAAATAGTCTTTAGAAATGAAAATAATAGAATTTCAAACATGCCATTAAAAAGTGGTTAACTTTTTAAATTATTAATCGTGATGTTAAAAAGTAATGGTCTGAAGTCTGTGGTGTAAACACATCAGAGCAGTTGTTCTACAGTAAACGTCTCCTTGAACGACGTCGTCTTTGTGTCTCAGGTTCGACACGGTGCTCAGATTTAAAGGCGGAGGCGATCAGAAGAGTCAGAGGAAGTGGCTCGACAAGAGATCCGTCTGCAGCATCAACAAACACATCCGCTTCTCAGAGACGGGCGGAGGCAACACAGAGCCCAAGATCAGCTCCACCCTCTGCAAGGTACTACAGCACGATGACACATCTCACTCATCTCTGTTCATTATGAACCTTTGATTCTTAAACTAAACATTTCAAGCACTGCTGCAAATCTTTCCTGAGATAAGGACTGACATAAATGTTTGCCTTCAAAAATGTAGAAAAACTGGTGAAGCAGTGACAGGTGATTGGAGGCTCATTGGGGGGGTAGTGAAGTGAAGGCTGGCCCGTGTGGTCGGATCAAACAGAGGATCCACTGAAGCTCAAACTGCTGAAGAAGTCAGAAAGGTGTCAGAACACACACACACAGGGCCTCGACGGGTCAGAGGGGGGACTAGTACAGTTTCAGGCAGGTGCTCATAATGTTTCTCTAGCTTTGATTCTTTTCTCAAACAGCACGATGTTCATTCTGTAAATCATGACACCATTTGAAGTTAAAACAGGATAGAGGAGGCTTTTCTGATGAGCGGTCTCCAAGGCAACCCAATCAAAGCTTTGTTTTTCAACTTGTACTGGAAGACGCTGTGAGGAGTTTTCTGTTCATGTTTTGCTGACAACATTTAGTTTAAAGACAGTTTTTCACCACCCAAAGATCTGAATCCTTTCACAAAGACAGAGAATTACAGATGCAGCTTCCTGACCAAGTGTCCATCTCACCTCACCTGCATGCTGAGTGTAGCCTAGTTAGCATAAGTTAGCTTTACTTACTATTACTTTAACCTAACACAAAGACAAATCTCCAAACCCTTGGACCAAAAGAACAGTTTCACTGCAAAGATGCAACAACATCTAGTCAGCATTTCTCTGTTTTTTTATGTGGCATGATCGTTCTTTGAATTGATTAAACTGGAGTTCCTCTGATGTTCAGACTGATGTTGAATCTGTATGAAGTGTAAATTTCATTTAATTTCAAACCTTTATTTATTCTCAAAAAGACACTGAGGTTTCCCTCATTTCCAATACTGTCGAGATTACAAGCACAATAAAACAAGCAACAACACATCAAACACTCAGAATCTGTGACATAAACCACTGAGATCATTTAAAACAGTTACATGGTTCAATGGTGGTGGAAGTGCACGTTAAAGGGTCACTTCACCTTTTCTTTACTGTTCTTGATCATCTCTAAAAAACATGAGTTAGTGTGATCTAAGAGTAAGAAACACAGATTTTGCTCCATACAGGGAAGCAATATTCACTCGTGTAAAAAAGAAGCATGAATTGAAAGTCTTTTAAATGAGGTGCTGCAGCCATGAAATCATATTTTAAATGTAGACTGTGTTTAATAAAATGTGTGTTTAATATATTAAATGTGTTTCTTTAACCAGGTGAAAAACTTTCTTGGAAAGAACCAGAGAGGAGCACAATCTGAGCAGAGTGAGATGGGAGGAGTGAGCACACAGGAACCCTCACATGTGGGGGGCAAAGTGTTAGAAGAAGAGACGAGGAGGACGCAGGAGACTGAAGGAAGGATTAAGGAGGCAAGGGAAGGAGAGAGCTCTGATACACTCACTCAGCCCAGAGCCTCTATGTGTGCTTCCAGTGGGACTGTGGAGAGTGAAAGGGAGGAGGAGGAGCCTGGGAGACACTTAACATCTCTAGAAACTCCTGAATTCCTCCTGCGCGACGCACCTGAAGGCAGCAGTGGTAAGATTAACATCTATCAGAATGAGACATCCTGGTGACACGGGGTGCAGTGTCATGAAGTGTGTGTGTGTGTGTGTGTGTGTGTGTGTGTGTGTGTGTGTGTGTGTGTGTGTGTGTGTGTGTGTGTGTGTGTGTGTGTGTGTGTGTGTGTGTGTGTGTGTGTGTGTGTGTGTGTGTGTGTGTGTGTGTGTGTGTGTGTGTGTGTGTGTGTGTGTGTGTGTGTGTGTGTGTGTGTGTGTGTGTGTGTGTGTGTGTGTGTGTGTGTGTGTGTGTGTGTGTGTGTGTGTAGAGTTAAATAGGAAAGATGGAAAGAAGCCAACAAAGAAGAAAAGACAGCGGAGGAGGAAGCAGCAGGTCCCAGCAGAGATGGCAGCTGAACCAGAGCTAGCCAAATACTGGGCTCAACGCTACAGGCTCTTCTCTCGCTTCGATGAAGGGATCAAGCTGGACCGAGGTCAGTCTGCACGCCACGAGCACGAGGATAAACTATCATAATCATGTCACAGTGATAACAGACAGTGCAGGTCATAGTCACAGAACTCCTGGGCGTTTATTTTTCTTCACTATCTGCTTTTTAAACATTACTGTACATATATAAACAACACAACTTCAGAAGGTCAACACTTTTTTATTTTTTATATTCAGGTCTAATTACAGATTTTCTATAGGTTCTTGTTTAAATGTCACATATATTTCTATCCCTGCACGGGTTATGTACATTTCTTGTACAAGTCTATTTTTAATTGCACAGTTTAAGTTTGATTCATCTAGGGGTATTCTTTAAATCTTTTTTTCAGGTTAATATATATATATGTATGGGAGGTGGGGGCGTTGGTTTTGTGGTTAATTTGTAACAAATGTTTCATGTCATGTACGTCTTTGTAACCTGCTACTGGATGCTTTGAATTTCCCTCGGGATCAATGAAGTATCTATCTATCTATCTATCGATCGATCTTTCTTTCTTTCTATCTATCTTTCTATTTCCTCCCCTGCATGGCTGACACATTTCTGTGTGTGTGTTTCAGAGGGCTGGTTCTCGGTGACTCCGGAGAGGATCGCTGAGCACATCGCCCTCAGGGTGGAGCACAGCTTCCCGGACTCCCAGCTGGTCATAGACGCCTTCTGTGGGGTCGGAGGGAACGCCATCCAGTTTGCACTCACTGGAAAGAGAGGTCATTCTTCTTTATAGATCCTCTTGGGCCCGTTATAAAATAAAAGTTTTGACTACAGCTATAACTTTCAGTAAGGGTAAATTATTGAACATTACAATATGATCGTAGATAGACACCAAAGTTTACTGAACATTATGTCCATGAATAGTCATGACACGCATTACTAATCACTTAAAGGGTTGACTCATGGTAAATCATCATGATATTTCTTTTATTTTTATACTTGGTGGAAGGCTTTTTGTGGCTCACCTGCAGTACCCACACAACCCACCAGGGGACCGCTGCCCACACTGTGGGAAGCACTGGACTATAAATCATCTGCTTCTAGGACTCACTGTCTCACTGCCTCTTTTTCTTTCCTCTTCATCTTCTCAGTCCTGGCTGTCGATATCGACCCGGTGAAATTGGACTTGGCGCGGCACAACGCAACGGTTTACAAAGTCGCTCACCAAATCGACTTCCTGCAGGGGGACTTCCTTCAGCTGGCCCCCCACCTCCGAGGCGATGTGGTCTTCCTCTCACCGCCGTGGGGAGGGCCGGACTACCTGACTGCTGAGGTGTTTGACATCAAGACCATGATGGAGCCTGATGGATATCCTTTGATGTTAGAGCTGTGATGACTTTAGAGCTGTTAGAAAGAAACCAAGTCTTTTAACTTTAAACTTTCTTTAAATCCCTCTGTTTGTTTTTCTGCTCCAGTTGATGTTCTATTTTGCAAAAAAAAATCAATCTAAGAAGTTCCTGCTGTGTTCACACACATTCCAGCCCCCCTCAATAACAAGCACTGCCAAAAGTAGACTTGTAGTTTTCCACTGGACAGATGAATCATTAAGCTGCTTTCACACTGATATTTACAGGAGGAGCTTCATGTGTGAACAGATGAATGTTTCACTTCACCTGGAGTTCCTCCTGCCAGCCCCCAAGAGTGTGTTTGACTTATAAAGTCAGAGTGAGCTGATGTGAGAACGCCGCAGGATATAATTAGGAGAATTCACCTGGAGCCAGTGGGGAGGGGGGAGTGATGTTTATATCCTGTGATTGGAGTCAGTGCATAGACTGTCTGCACGCCGCCGCCACAATCTCTGCACGTTTTTGAACTGCTGCATGAAGTTTCTGTCCTCCAGTTTGTTCTTCTCCACTCTGTACTTCATACTGTTGTTCACACTTCACTGAGCATCTACAGTATATAAGGGCACATTTTCTCATCACAGGGTCTCATAAAGGACTCTTTTGTTTTTTCCACTTTGCTGTTTTTTTACGTCATGTCTTACCTCAGGAGACCCCCCCCCCTCCTCTTTACACAAAGAAGGTTGATATCTTCATCTCCTCTCATCAATAATAATAATAAATTAGATTTATATAGCGCTTTTCTAAATACTCAAAAATGCTTTGACAGGAAACAACAAAAAAACTAAGCAAGAGTTAGTGGTTGTAGGCAGTGATGAAGAGGGAAGTTTTGAGGGATTTCTTGAAGGAGGGGAGTGTGGGGGATTCTCTGATGTTTTTAGGGAGAGAGTTCCAGAGGGTGGGAAAGCCCCCTACCCCTTGTTTACAACAACAATGTTTACAACTTAAAGTTCATGTTTGAAGTAGAATTATTCTGTAAGACTTTCTGGCTTCTTCCTCAACACCAGACACATTTGAGATTTTCCGTCTGGCCAAACTGATCTCAAACAACATCGTATACTTTCTGCCTCGCAATGCCGACGTAGACCAGGTCAGTGTTTTTATATTTATTTCAAACATGCACAAAAAAGACTTAACACCTGTTTAAGACCGGTACAGACGGATTCTCAGGACACCAGGAAGATTTCTACAGTGAACATTTTTTTCACATTGAAGTGTCACCACAGTGACTCCTGTTGAGTTTTCAACCTGCTCAGGTTGCCCAGGTTCACGGCTTTAAATGTGACCATGTGACCTCATAATCCAGCTGTGTTTCTGAAGACGACTTACTCTGAAACTCAGAGTTTATTAGACGCAGTTAGTGTTTTCTGTTTTACACTCCAGCAGCTTGAGCAGCTGATTGATTACATATCATCTCCTTGCCCGTCTCTCCGCAGATCGCCTCTCTGGCCGGCCCAGGAGGAAAGGTGGAGGTGGAGCAGAACCTCCTCAACAACAAACTGAAGACTGTGACTGCTTACTTCGGCAGCTTGATCACTTCAGACGCCGAGTAACTCTGGACGCTCGACTTCATGTCAACAAGCTTCAAACCTGCGTCAGACCATGTTTCTTTATTCACTCCTCGACGTTCTGTTATTTAGATTCTGTTAAATATGAATGCATATTCTTATATTCTTTAAATGATTCTGATGATCACATGTTACAGAGTTACTGCAGGTGTTTTTTTGTATTGAATCCTCAGACTGAGGCTTTGAGAGTTTTACAATATTTCTATTTTTATCAAGTTTTAATTGTTTGTGAGAGCTAATAAATGTTTTTCAGAAAGCTCATTGTCATCATCATTACTGGTTATCAGACTATATTTGACTTTTAAGTTTCAGTTTACATTAAATCAGAATGAAGTTAGCATTGGATTACATGACTCGTACAGCAGACAAACATAACCTGGACGGTTGTTTGGGAAGCACTAATTTAGAGTTTCATAGCAAACACAAACTTTCTATTTTAAGGTTGATTCTTTTCTTCATTAAAAATCATTTTTAAAACAACCCAATAAAATTTAAAAAAAAAAACACTTGTACAAGTTTTCATCAAAAGTTTGAGCATGCAATTAGCTTTGACAATTGTATGACCTTTAATCAGCGAAGTCTTATGTCATTTATCTAACACGATGCATTACAGGGTTAACCTCGGAATTGATGTTTGCCCTGCCCACCTCCATGATGTCACACCAATGAGGGCGTGCAATTTTATTTATTGGGTTATTTATTTATTTATTAACAGCTATGGCTCAAACTAAAAGGTTTTAATTTTTATCAGGCAAGAAAGTAAACCTTTTTTTAAACTGTCACATTCAGTCTTATGTCCACATGACCCTTCATTATTGTGAAGACTAAATTATTAAAGGTCACATATGATGCAGAATCCACTTCTCCATGTTCCTCCAACTCTAATATGTGTCTCTAGTCCGTCTACAAACCCCCCAATGATGAGAAAAGTCCATCCTCTCTGTCTTCTGCCTGCTCCACTTTTCAGAAAATATGTGCTCAAACAGGCCGTTTGGAGATTTTCCCTTCATGACATCACAAAGGGTAGTAGCCCCTCCCCCAGGTGGGTGACACTCCCACAGCTAGGTGTTTGTTCTGCCCTCTGAGTCTGCCTTCTCACCATAAACAATAGGACATGCAGCAAGAAAGACAGAGTACACCCAAGCCCTTCCAGAGAGGGGGCGTGGTCAGACACAGCTCATTTACATATTTAAAGGTACAGACACAGAAACAGCCTGTTCTGAACAGGGCTGAAATAGAGGGGTTTATAGACATGATCAAATACAGGATCAGAGTGGATTTAGAACAAGAAACTTCACACACGTTTTGAGGAGCTCTGGGACTTATTGAAGAGGAGGATATGTGACCTTTCAGCAAAAAGTAAGTCTTGTGCCATAAGATATGAACTTGTTAAGGGAGCCTGAGGATCATTAGGCTATAAGAATGGTTTCCACTCACAACATAAATGTGCTTTAAACTTTGAACCGATTTCGGTCAGCTTACACCCCATGTTGTTTTTTGATCTGTCTAAAATAAGGGTGTGTAAGATTTGGAGTCATATTTTACTGATCTTTCCAACAGGAAGCGTCACAAGTTTGAAGACTTGAGAAAGCACTAAGAAAAGATAAATCACTCATAAAAAGAAGAAACACTTAAGCAAAGTCTTTTTTTTTTTTTTTACATGTACCATGAAAAAATGTGATGCTACAGTGGCTTAGCACAAGAAGTCAGCGTGTCATTCCGTGTCAAACAGCATGCTATTACACTGCAGTGCAGTCAAAAGGAATACAAATGCAATACAATCAAATGTCAGGATGTAAGCCAGAGTTCTGAATGTGGATAACAAACATTCATTAGCAAAACAAAATGGACTTTGTTCAAATCAAAGACAGAGACCAGGTTTTTTTAAAGGAGCACATCATAAAAAGTTCGTTCAGCCCGTCTGAAGAGGTAGAGTGAGTGGAGCCTCCGTCCTCCTCAGCATGGCCACTGCCACTTTATCTAAAAACACACATTTACCACGCTTCAGAAAAGTCATTACCAATCACACTCAAGTATCTGCAGCAGGGGAAACTGTACTCAGTGATGATCAGTATCAGGTTCATCTCAACACATTCAGCACAGAGACACCTGGAAGGGGAAACTGTCTCACCTCTTCTAGCTGTCTCACTCTCAGCCTCTCGTCTCACGCAGGCTGAACTAAATGTTTGTTTTTGTTTCTGTGAAAGGTGGAGAGGGCTGGAGAAGCTGCTCCCTGATAGACGCTTGTTTCAGTATTTTAATTTGTATCACATTTCACACCTTTCAGAAAGCAGGTAACAGATCTAAGTGATTGTAGTTCTATCACCTAATACAACAAAGACCCACAAAATGTATGAGGCTTTACTTTGAGCTTGAGGTGTTATCGATCTCATATCGAGGCGGTCAAGCTGACAACATTTAAAGGGTCAGAATATAAAACGCTGGAGTTTGTCATAGGTTCATTTATTGACTTTTGGTTGGCGCTAAAGGCTGACAGTTTCCCCCCTTCAGATGTCCTTTACCTCACCAGTCTCTGTCGTGTTTCACTGTGCACAGATCTTACAACATGAGCTGTCACTTTGTGAACAAACATGTCTGTTTACTTGTGAACTGCCAATGCAAACAAAAGACGAACTCTGCCTCAACGTCTGAAAGATAAAAAAACAGTGGGCGGAGCTCTAGACAGGAAACAGTTAATTCTCTAGAAGCTGAACTCATCCCAGAACTAAATCGTACGACTGCGTCGTTTAAAAAAAAAAAGAAAGAAAAAGGAGAGTCACGTTTCAGAGAAAAAGACTTCTTGAGATTAAAGAGTGGTCGATTTACGAGAAATAAAACATGTAAGTTCAAAAAGTCACAAAAGTGACTCTGAAGAAGAGAATACCACATGATGCTGTAAACCTTCAGCTGATGACCCAATCACATCATACTTTCACTAAGACTGATCGAAAAGGACAAACGAGTGAGCTCAGAGTCATGACATCATCAGAAGCATCCAGACTTTGTAAAGCATTAATGAAGAAGAAATCTGCACACCGATTTAGACGAGGTAACCAATCAAGCGGGACACAAAATATAGAGACTCCACTCCTTATTGCTCAGTCCTGGTAGAAAGTATGATTTGATTGGACCAGCAGCTGCAGGCATCATACACTCAGGTGTGTGTCATCATCAGGCGAGTTTTTCTTCAGGGTAGCGTTTGTGAATTTGGGGTTTTTAATTCTCATCTCAAAATTCTGAGTTTTTCTCGATAATGTGCGACTCTTTTTTCCCTTTTAGTACAAACACAACATTTTATATTTGGCACCAAAAAAAGTACAAATTAAAGAGACAAGTCATAAAGAGGTAAAAACGCTCTAAAGTCATTCAGCACGACGGAGTATTACAGCCACGTTAAAGAAAAAGACTTCTAAGATTTGGAGGTTAAAGTTTAAAGTTTCTTTCTTTACAGCCTCAGTGATCAAAATGTGCAGACAGTATGAGCATTATCAGAAGTGTTCCAAAGACACCAGCGTTTACTACGTCACTGAGTTTAAATGATGCTTAAGATCATTATTTGAGCTGATGTGTCAGTAAATCACAGAAACAAACCGAATCAATTCACAGCCTTTAAAACGCTTTTGGAAATGTGCAGACTCAACATCTGCAGTAAATGTTTAGAGTCATTACAACTTTATTCTGATTATGGATCTTTGAGCGCACACAACGAGCTGGATCTGTCAGATATGTTTTTTTTCTTCTGCGGCACCTGATACTCCGTCAGAGTAATGACAAATTAGAAGCTCGTAGAAGCAAAATTAATTCAACATTTGTGACATTTTCATTTTTCTCGTCCTCAGTCCCAAGTCATGGCTACGTCTCCTTTACAGACAAGCATGCCCCCCCTTACACACACACACTAAATCTCCTGTCTTAAGGCTAAAATGAAGCTTTGTTTTAACGCTAATCAAAATAAGGCAAACGACTGAAAATAAGTTTTAAATGTTGAGCTTTGCTACAGGCGTCGAGTGCATTGATGATGCAATGACATCACAGCACGTTAAACATGAAGGCATGGAGATAATCAACCTGAATGGAAACAAAAATAAACAAAAAAAACGTTTGTGAAAAAATATAATATACTTAAATATGAATAAATAAATATAATTGTGGCGTAAAATAAATAAAAAATAAAAGCTTATGAACACATTCATCCGAGGCCTTCATGACATCACCAGCTGAGGCCGTCATCCCACCGCTCCTCTTCTGCTCAGGCTCCGCCCTGCAGCACCGCGCCCTGTGCTTTAATAACACCATGGTGTCCGTAAAACGTAAAAGAATAAACCCCGTCCCCACACCCCTGGAGGTTTCACAGGTGGTCTCCTCACTACTACGCCCCTATGTTTAGAAAACTACATACATCCTAACGTCATGAGTCCGTGTTGCTGAGGGAGCTTCAGATAAACCACTCCTTCTTACTCTCGTCGATGGTTTCGGTGAAGGCAGGGTCGTTGACGATGATCGCTGCATCGGCACAGTCTGCTGACTCCGCCCCCTTAGCCTCATTTGTGTGGTAGGAGCCTTTATGACGGAACAGGTGGCGGATCACAAACACCATGATGCCGAGGACGGTGAAGATCACCATGGAGATGATGCCTGGAAGCAAAATGAAAATGCATTTCAGCAAATTTGAAATGTGGTGACAATCTGTTCACACTCCTACCCTCAGGCCGGAGGTACAGAAGTGTTAAATGCAGGACCTCCAGACTCAAGAACTCTTTCTTTCCCACTGCCGTCCGACTCCTAAACAACTGACAGGAGTGTAACAATCACAAACTACCTCATGCTCAGTTTGCACATATTACACTCATTTTTTGCACAGTTTAAATTTTATATTTGCACTCTACTGCCTTCAAATTGCCTTTTTTATCTATATTTTGTATATTTGTATATATTATTATTGTTTTAATTTTTTTTTTTTATTTGGCTATGTTTAATTTTAATATGTTATTGGGCATTCATTGTGGACAGCAAAGAAATAATTTCATTGTACAGGAAAACATGTTTCCTACTGTGCACATGACAATAAACATTTTGAATTTTGAATCTTGAATCCAGGTACTGCACCATTCCTATTAAGACCTGACCTCTTTAAGTCCAAACTCCAGCTTCTAACACAGCCTTACTGATATATATGTGTAGTCTCTAATCATACATCATAACCAGAAAGAGATTTACCTCCAACTATTGCAGAGTTGCGGTCCACTTCATCACTAT